AGAACAGAGCATGCATGTTCAGAATATTACCAATCAAACTTAACGAGAATCCAAACAAGAGAAGTGCCAGAGAAGGAGTTAAACCTCAAGAGCCAGTATACAAAACATACCTTAACCGGGAAGGTTCCTTTTGGAAGTTTTGTTGTAAGCATTTCTCTCAATCGCCGGATAGCCTTAACTTTATTTGCTAAAATGTCAAGCAAGGGAAGGAGTTCTTCAGTTCTCAACGGAAAATCAGGAGAAAGCCAGAGTACAGGCCTCAATCCTTTCTTATACTCTTTTTCTCGGCTTCCATCTTTACGAAAATCTCCACTTTCAGCATTACTAGATGAAGAAGCTTCGGCATCTCTTCCTCGTCTATACTCATCCCTCTTCATGCTAATATCAACAGAACACTTCTCACCATTCCTACAACCATTTATCTCCTCAATGGGAATGTCTCTGTCTATTTGTTCACGACAACTAGGCCCGTGTGCAATAACGCCATCTCCGTTCTCATTGAGAGCAACATCAAGTTGTCTTCTTTCTTCCTCTGTCAGAATATCATCAAGATCTTTACTTTCCGCCTCATTTCCATTGCATGAATTGATGATTTCATCATCTGTCATAGCACCTGGCACCCTCCTTGATTTAACACTCACGACCACGTTTTGCATATCATATACTTTAGCGTTCCACGGACCGACCATCTCCATTTTCTCTTGGCGCCTCCATGTCGTTTGTGGCAACAGAACAGCTTGAGTGACATCAATCCCGGGCCTGAATATGCTCGTTTGAGACATTGCAGTGACTTCTTGTTGCACTTCAGCCTCCGTTGCCGGAGCGCCAGCACCATCTAAAGCATTCATAATTTCTTTTTCTTTATGCGAAACCACACAAAGCGAACCGGGATTAACTTTACCATCTTCAGAACCATCACCAAGGAAGAGAATGCTCTGATCAGATCGTTGAATACGAAAACCATCAAATCCAGCCAAAGTCATATCCGCCCTTAAATTTGCACCCCTTTTCCAAATTTTATACGTATCGGAAGGAGCAATCCTAGAAATGAAAGGGATAACACTGCTTTCAAAATTGAACGTAATCTCCATATAAAAATCCCTCATTCTCCTCATTGTTCCAATCAACCGAGGTAACCGCCTACACCATTTCGCCCAAGCCAAAGGCTGGTAATTCCTAACTATAATCTTCGCAACACCATCTTCTCTATTACATATAGCTTCCTGTAGGGCACTCCAACCTTCCTCATTTTGCAAGCTCCAATCTGCACCGGCAACCATAAGCATCTCGGTTGCAGTCTCATCGCCTAGTTTGACAGCTAAATGAAGAGGCATATCACGATTGGGGACATCTCGTCGATCAATTACAGCCGAAATGGCATCAGCCTTAGCTTCCTCAGCCAAGGATACTGTTTCAGTATGAATTTCAGCTGTATCACAAAGCCTAGGGAGGCCTAAAATTATCTTCCTAAGAGAGGCATAATCTTTCAAGATTGTAGCTTTATGCATAGGACTATGTGCATACTTTGAAACATCAAAACTTGTCATTCCCCTCAACAGTAATATACAATTACCAAATCCTATAATTGGCACAACATAAAAACACCCCAAAAAGATTCAATCTTTGCATAATATTACAACCATTTCCAATTCAAGAAAACAAAATACCAGCTCATACTACTAAGTAAGGAAATTAACAAGCTACACAGAGTCTTTCACAAAAATTATTCAGACCCCACATAAAATTACACTCAACAAATACAAGAAACAAAAAATTATAACAAATAAAGGTTCAGAATCTTTCTTGTGGGACCCAAGAGCAGAAATCAAGAAAATTCTTACCTTAAATGTTCTTCCTCTCTTTCTGTAAATTGAGAAAACAAAAGAACAAAGCAAGAACCTTGTGATCAAAAGGAAAAGAAAAGTTATGCAATTTTAATATGAAATTGGAGGAATTTTGGGGGAATCTGATAAAGAACAGGGAAAACTGAAAAGGGTGTCAAAGAATCAAAGGAAAGAATATTGAAAGAGAAGCATAGTATAATACAACTCAACCCCACTGCACACGCAAAGGGCAAAACTGTCTATGTAAAAAAGGAAAACGGCATATTCTTGGAATGAGAAGGAAAGAGAAAGTATAAGTAATTACTCCATCCTCGTCGTTACTAAAAAATAGTTATCTTAAATTAATTATCATTTTAGAAGCTCAACTAAATTAATTAATTTTTCTCTATTTTACTCTTAGTATTAATTGTTCTTGAAAACTATAAATACTTCAATAATAAATAAATATTAAATAAAGAAAAATTATATCTTAAGATATAAATATGGGTAAAACAGTCAAAAACTTCTCCTCTTTAATTCTTTTTAAGGCATTTGTAAAAGAGAAACATGACAAATAATTTGAGACGGATGGAGTATCCTTTTGTTCCAATTTATGCGGCAAAGTTTGACTAGACAAAGTTTGACAAAAAATAAAAAAAAATAGAAACTTATAAAATTTAAAACAAATTAAATATATTTATATATTTATAAATCATCTACTTTAAAGTAAAAATAAAAAATATAAATAGAGTATTTATTCTACTTTAGAACAGACCGTAAAAAGAAAAGTTCCCCTTTCTAACTTTTCTAAAGGAGGAGTTTATTGACTCCACCAACTACAGTGAAAGGAAATTAAATTCTGAAAATGAGTAATTTGGATCATAGTGTATATCGTAGATTGCCAGTGGTTGATGTTATATTCATTCTATTTTTTTTGTTTTCATAGTATCGTGCTATTATTATTGATTTTTGTTATTATTTTTCATCTATTTTCTGGTCTTAACGATGTTGGTATTATCTGTCTAGCTGTTGTTGCTATTACTGATTTATTGTCTCTTTTTGTCTTCTTGAGCCGAGGATCTATCGAAAACAACTTTTTTATTTCTTCGGAATAAGAATAAGATTTACGTACACACTACTCTCCCCAAACCTTACTTGAGAGATTTCACTGGTGATGGTTGTTGTTGTTTGTAGTAATTTGGAGCATGAAGAATAGTGCTGGCTTTGACTCTACTAACTAGACAGAAATGAGAATTCTGAAAATGGTTAATTTGGAATGTGAAGAATATATTGGCTATATTTTTTTTTTTTTTTTTTTTTTTTTAATCTTTTTGTAATGGCAAAATACATAAGTTACCCCTTAAACTATGGACCAAATTCATGTTACATATTTTTTGCGGATTAAAATTACCTTACACACTTAACCTTTCTAAAGTGTAGCTAAGACACATCTCTTTGTCTACGTGGCCAGCGTGTGATTTACAAACAAAATAAGGCGTCTAAACAGTAAAAACCTGTATATTTGGTGTTTTATATGGACGGTTCAGATTTAATAAAATTTATCCAACGGTTAAAATTGATTTTCCCCCTTTTTCAGTTTCTTTAAATTTTTACCCATCTACCAACCACCACACTCTTCTAAAGCTCTCCACATTCCACAATGGTTAAACCAAAAAAGTTGCAAAGCTAAATGGATTTTGTCATTAACCGAATCGAAAGTGAACGCAACATTACATGCCTAGATATTGAGGGATTTGGACCCGATACAGAGGCAATTCCTCTTGCGAGGTCGGAGCTGTAAATTGAAAGCGATGAATAAAGAGGAAATTCCTCCCGCCATGATCAACACTTAAATCACCATCATTTTCTACTTTTCCTTTATTTCCTTCCCACCAGCAAAGCGCCAGGCCGAATAAAAAGATCGTTTCTTGAACTCATGAAAGGGTGTCCATTTTTTTTTTGCATTTTCAACTTGAAATAGATTCTATAGTTGCAGATTTTGATTTTGATTTGATTTTGGTAAATAGAAATTTCAAAAGTTGATAAGTTTGGATGCTTCAATTGTATGGATATGAAGGTGGTTGATGTTAGTTCCGCCAATATTGCTGTATTTGTAAATAATAATTCTGCAATATATAAGTTATCGTAATGAAACAGTAATTAATTCGAGCCCACTGAATTCACAGTGTTTCCTTAAGGAATTTAATCCACTCCTAGTACCCAAGGTAATGGATTATTTCCTACCAGGATAGAACGAATCACATACTGGTGTAGCGGTACTTCAAACCCCAGTGTTTCAGCAAACACAAAGTTCGGTAGCAAATCACACTTACAGTTGCTTTGTTTGAAGTTAAAAACAATGCAGAACGAAGGAGTAGAAACTCAGAAAATCGTATGGAAATGCTGAGGGGAAGGAATGCAATGTATAGCCAAATCTGTTGAGTGATTTCAGTTCGTGTCTTGTGTGTTGTGTGTGTCTTTCTTCAACAACTGCTGCACATATATATAGCAGCCAGTGTTGAAGAAGAACAATCGTCCACCCTCCATGGTGGAGAAAGCATTAGCTTGTTTGTGGAGCAAGCACAATCATGGTGGGAAGAGCATTAGGCGGCTGCCTTGTGGTCAATACACGGATTGAAAAATATCCGTTATAAATGCGGATAATCTTACGTTAATATTTACTATTAGCAAATAAATTTGGTCCAAAAAATTAATCAATCAATCGATCATTTGACCAAATCTAAATCCAAATCCAAATCCAAATCCGAATCCAAATCCGAATCCGTAGCCGTAGCCGTAGCCGTAGCCG